TGCTTAGTGTGAGGGATTGCTGAAGAGTCAATGAGTCGATGCAATCAGCTGGTTTTCCTTAGATAGAAAACTTTGAACCAATCTGACTGGATGATTCTTGAGATGTAAATTGTCTTGCTTCATTGGCAAAGCGTCTCAGTTTTCTCTATTCAAGAAAAAAGGCACTGATTTTAAGAAAAAATATCTTATTTAGATTAATTTTTTTGCAGTGCACAGTGATCCACACTGCAAAAAAACAAATAAACAAATCTAAACAAGTCATTTTTTACTTGAATTAAGTAGATAAGTGAGACACTTTGCCAATGGAACAAGACAATTTATATATAAAATAAGAAAACACAATTGCATTGTCTTATTTCAAATGCATATTATCTGATTATCTTATTTTAAGAGTAAAAATATGAATTTCATTTGCAGATCATCTCAAATTAAAGGTAAATACACTTAATTTAAGACATTTCACTCATTTCTAGATCATTTTTCCAGTATATAAGGGGAACAGAACACAGGAAGGACTAATGAGCTGAATATGGAGCAGGTGTGAGTGGAACTAACTAGAAGGAAGCCAAAGGGAAAGGAAAGTAGCACTAGGGGGCAACGGAGAGTAACTAAAGACTGCATGAATATAATGAAAAATAAACCAAAGAGCAACAAAACAGAATAACTGAAAACTGAAAACTAAAAACTCAGGGTGCCACCTTAAGAAAGGCAGCCATGTTGGAAAACCCTTCAGTGTGTCTGATTGACTCAGTCCAGGTAAGCAGAGTCCAATTATGGTGGGAAAAATACATCTCCTATTATTCTGCAAGGTCACAAAATATCTGAGATAGACTGGAGATAATTAAAAATCTAAATAGTTGATCTCTATTTAAAATAAGTGCATTTTTTCTTGAATTGAGGAGGTAAAAGAGACGTTTTGTCAATGGAACGAGACAATTTACATTTAAAGGAAGAAAACACAATTGCATTGTCTTATTTCAAGTGCATTTTATCAAAATATCGTTAAAATACCTCATTTACTTCCTTAATTTAAGTGTAAATACACTTAATTTAAGGAAAATTTTACTTTGTCAGCAGTTAAGTTATACACTTTGCCAATGGAATAAGGTAATTTACATTTAAAATAAGAAAAATTGCATTGTCTTGTTTCAAGTGAAAGTGCATCTCATTAACTTACTTAAATTAAGGGTGAAAACACTTAATTTAAGAAATTGTTACTTTTTTCTAGATCGTTTTTCCAGTGTACAAGCATGCTTAGTGTGAGGGATTGCTGAAGAGTCAATGAGTCGATGCAATCAGCTGGTTTTCCTTTGATAGAAAACTTTGAATCAATCTGACTGGATGATCTGGTGAACTGGAAAGTGACCTGAGATGACATGATGAGAATTGGAGCTATAGAAATAAACTAATTTGAATTTAATCTCCATGCTTCTTCAAACGGGGCCTGAGGGCCACAGACTAGACAATTCCTAAGACAATTTACATTTAAAATAAGAAAAAACGAGAAAAGATGGAACCCTTTGAAGACATATTTCCAGTTAATATTGTAGCAAGTAGGATAAATGTAAACACACAGGTATATATTTTAAAGGCATAATTAACATATATCTCTGTTATGAGAAAAATAAAAGTCACTCGAGAAAATTTTTTCCTTTATTTCATCACCAAAGTAAAAAAAACCATGGATTTTCAGCTCGCCGACTTGTTTGGTTGTTGTTACTCAATTGTTTTTATGCTTGTATTGGAAGTTGTTGTTTCTGGCTTATTGTATTAATCATTGATTTTTAATATTGATGTGATAAAATAAAGTCTTTGTTCAAAAAAAGAAAAACAATTGCAT